TGTAAGATTACAATAAGCAAGTGTATAGATTATTTCTTTTCTGAGGAACTAGAAGGACTGAGTGGCTGCAAAGAGGGGGTAGGGAGCCACAGATTAGCCCCTTCTAGATGGCATGGGATGCCCTACTCGATCCTGACACCAGGCCAGCAGACTTGGTTCAGGACTTCTCCTGAGGACCCAATAATCCTTCAGATTCTTAAAAAATATATATATTTTTAAAAACAGTCATGCTCTTATATGCCAAACATGGCATTTACACTTAAATTCGAATTCTGGATTATAAACTAGGTGTATCATCTTGCTTTATATTTAAGGCCTGAGGGATTCTACTAAATCAGGACACAAACTGGTGACCGAAGAAAGCGAGTCTCGTTACCAAGTGGCGTTTGTTTGGTTGGGGGTGGGGTGCAAAAAAAACCAACCCATTGCTGTTGAGTTGATTCTGACTCATAGCAACCCCATGTGTTACAGAGTAGAACTGCTCCATAGGATTTTCTTGGCTGTAATTTTCCAGAAGCAGAATGACAGGCCTTTCTTCCATGGCACTGCTGGGTGGGTTTGAACCACCACCCTTTAGGTTAGTAGTCGAGTGCAAGCCCCCAAAAATAATTGTCCTGGAGATCCCTACTGATAGAGAAATTAAGTAACATTGCCAGTCAGGATCCAAAGTCACCAACTTGTGTAGGGTCTCCCCACCTCTTCAATGGACAAAGCACCCCTTCTGCTAGAAAAATTACCCAGAGAGGTGATGGCCTTTCTGTTACCGGAAATAGCCTTGCAAGGAGAAAAAGAGGCTATAAAAACACTAAATTGAAGGTGTGGAAACCTTGGATTTTTTTTTTTTTTCTGTCTCTAGTGGCCACAGTAACTGCAAGCTGTCCTTTTCCATTATATCCTTATGATTTTAGTTATTTTATGTTGTCTTTATTTTGTTAGTCCATTTTCTCCCCACAGGATAAACATAGTCAGTTGACCTGCTTGGTAGCTGAAGGTACTTTATATTTGAACATTCTATTCTAGGGGAAAGAATTGGGGTAGAATTGATTGTTGAAAGGCCTTCTGCAATTTCCACTTTTCCAAAACAGAACATCCTTCTTCCTCAGCCTCCATTAACCTTTATTTAGAACAGTGTAAATCACAGGACTCAAAATTTATGTTATATGCTAAAGCTGGCTCGTAAACAACTTGCCTTTTCACCAAATATCATTATTCAAAGTGTAAATGCAATGCCCTGGAACAATTTCTGATTCTTATTGATGGCCTCCCACTAACTCTAAAGTCCTTTGTGGGTTTTATTGTATAACACATTGTTTGTGGTTATGCCGCTCACCTCTGCCTAACTCTTACAGATGCATGACTTGCTGAAAGCTTCCCAACAGTTTTGGGGAGGATCAAATAAATGGAATAGATTATAGGCTTTGTTTTAGTAATGTATGTATGCATGTACTTTGAGCAGACCTTCAGGGATTCCAAGTGTTTCACAAAGTCAGCCTTTTGCATTCTCATGGTTCTTCCAGAATTTTAAGTTATGATTCCATACCTTCTTGCTTTTGAGCTGGGGTGGAGGAAGAAGAGGGCTAGGTGCTCAGTATTAGAAATCTTGCGTTTAGAGCTTTTCTGTCCTCCTTCTATCCTGAGTTAAAGTGGGAGCATGCAGAAGAGAGCCAGGCTCTTGGGTCCTGGCAGCAAGAGTGAATGAACTTCTCTGCCCGCCTCACCTCCTGGTGAACCCAGCAAACTCTTGGATTAAAATGCCCCGGTGTTCTGAAGGATCAGGGCATCTCCAGTAGCCCCAGACTTGATGTTAGAAAGTGCATCGTACACCTTTGGAGGAAGTAATTAGAGCTGAATGCCTGTTCTTGTCTAGCACTGGAAAGAAGGTAGGATCTGACTCTAGTGAGTCCTCATCTTGAGAGGGATGTCAGGATTGTCAACAGTCTTCTAAGTGGGAAAATGGATAGTGAGGAGTGACACAGATGGTCCTGGGTGAGACCCAGACTGGCCTTAGCAGCTGCCAGGTTTGGAATATCTGGAGAGAAATGATAAGGTAAGGAGAATGAGAACTGTGCTCAATAGTATACGTCTTGGGGCCTCTCTGACTGTCTCCCCATAAATGCAAGGGTCACAGTACAGGTAAGGGGATTTAGGGATTATGATAAGGTGAGATTTTTGGATGTTGCAATTCTCCTGCCATACTTAAAGGAGGTAAGAGTGGAATAAAGGTTAGAGCGTATTATTCTCTATCCTTTATAGGGATAGAGAATGGGAGTCATTTTATTTTTCCTGTTGAAAACCCAGCCTTAGACTAAGTCTGGACTAGAATTATTGAGGCCTTAGTTTCATACAGGACTCCCATAACCCCCGATTTCTCTCTCTATAGGTAGTGCTCGGAATAGTTAGGAGCCCTAGTAGTTCAATGGGTAAGCAGTCCGCTACTAATTGAAAGGTTGGCAGTTTGAACCCACCCAGCAGCTCCGCGGGAGAAAGACCCAGCAATCTGATCCCGTAACGATTACAGCCTAGAAAATCGTATGGGGCAGTTCTGCCCTGTCACACGGGGTCACTATGGGTCAAAATTGATTCAACAGCACCTTATAACACAACCACTCTGAGTAGTAATAACTCCTACAATACAGACCTTTGGAAGTGCCTGTTGGCCTGCTCATACAGGAACAGCAAGGACCTCTGGGACTTTTGTAAGATCTAGAATTTGCTTCAGGATTGAGAATTTATTGTTCTTATCCAGTATCAATTACCATTTTTAATAATAATATGTAGTACTATAAATATACCTGTTGACATCTTGGATGGGTGGGCCTAGAAATTATTTTTAGAAAGAGGAAAGTCTATATTAGATGCTTTGGTTTCAGGGGACAAAAAGCAAGCTTTGAATATCCCTAAGGAAGATTGAAAAGAAGGCAGATTTTTCTTGGCCCACCCACCTCCTCTGTCAATATCCATCTGCTCTCTTATGACTATTTACTAATCATCGTCTTTGTTATTGTTAGCTGCTTTCGAGTCGGCCCCTGAGTCATGATGACCCCATACACAACAGAATGAAATGCTACCTGGTCCTGCACCATCCCCATGATCCTTCGTGGGTCGAACCATTGTGATTCATAGGGTTTTAATTGGCTGATTTTCAGAACTAGATCACCAGGCCTTTTTTCCTAGTCCATTTTAGTCTCAAAGTTCCATTGAAACCTGTTTGGCATCATAGCAACACAGTGGCCTCCACTGACGTGTGGTAGCTGCACATGAGGTGCATTGGCCGGAAACTGAACCCGGATCTCCCACGTGGAAGGCAAGAATTCTACCACTGAACTGCCAATGCCTTGTAATCGTCATTTAGCTACCTTTAACTGAGCATTAGGCATTAGGCTATGCACTTTATATTGTCCATATCAGTCCTATAAGTTTTATTGTTTTCCTCAATTTCACATGTGAGGAAAGAGGAAATTGAGGTTTATGGGGCGAAGTAACCCACCAGCAGTCACCCAGCAAGGAAAAGGCGGAGCTGGGGCATGTGTCAGGTGAAATGTGTCTCCCCCTTGGTTTATCCATTTCCATCTTTGCTAAGACAGCCCTTCTGAGGTAATAGTAAGCTGATGCTTACTCTTAGCCAGGATGTTAAGTGATTATTAAGATTTTTAAGTGACAACAGCTTAAACTGACTCTAAGCACTCTCCCTTTGCTTCTGCAAATATATGTATTTTAACTAACTGAAAGACAGAAAAGCCGTCGTGATGGAACAATGGGGTCAGGGTTATCATTAAGGCAGAGGCTACATAAGACTCTTGAAATCACTCGCGGTCAGTGGCTTTTTGCTGATATGCCTAGCATTCCACGTTACAGCTGTATGTACATTGTTGTTGTTGTTAGATGCCATCAGGTTGGCTCCAATTCAAAGCCACGTTATGTATAACAGACTGAAGTGTTGCTTGGTCTTGTGACATCCTCACAATCGTTGCTATGTATGAGCCCATTGTTGCAGCCACTGTGTCAGTCCATCTCATTGAGGGCTCCCCTCTTTTTCACTGACCCTCTATTTTACCAAACATGATATCTTTCTCCAGCTATTGGTCCCTCCTGATAACACATCCAAAGTAAGAGGAAGTCTCACCATACTCACTTCTAAGAAGCATTCTGGCTGTACTTCCTCCAAGGCAGATTTGTTCATTCTTCTGGCAGTCCATTGTCTATTCGGTATTCTTTGCCAACACCAAAATTTGAACGTGTCAATTCTTGGGTCTTCCTTTTTCTTTGTCCAGCTTTCACATGCGTATGAGGTGATGGAAAATACCATGGCTTGGGTCAGGTGCACCCTAGTCATCAAAGTGACATCTTTGCTTTTAACACTTTAAAAAGATCATTTGATTTCTTGACTGCTGTGTCCATGGGCATTGATTGTTGACCCAAGAAGAATGAAATTCTTGACAACCTGGACACTTAATTGATCAGCTGATTAAAAATCAGTTAATGTTTTCAAGGAAAGCTCTTTTGGTTAACTTTATAGTTTATTCATCAACTCTAAATACACATCTGTAAATATTAAACAAAACCAAACCTGTTGCCGTCGAATTGATTCAGACTCATAGAGGCCCTATAGGACAGGATAGAACTGCCCTGTAGAGTTTCCTAGGCTGCGATTTTTATGGAAGCAGACTGCCACGTCTTTCTCCTATGGAGCAGCTGGTGAGTTCGAACTGCTGACCCTTGGTTAGCAGCCTAATGCTTAACCACTGCACCACCAGGGCTCCTTCTGTAAATTTTGAATGACCGTTATTCCTAAGTCAAGCTTCTATTTTAGATTTTCTACAACTTTTGAATTTATTCTTTAAGAAAAATGAGTAAATGTCCTCTAGTTCATGAGAAATTATGTTTTGCTTTATTTTATCAATGTTTTGCATTAACCAGCTGTGAAGGTGAGCTTGTCATGTTGTTCTTCACTGGCATGCCTTAATGATCTTTTATCTTATTTGTGCTTGTTCACAATTTAGTGCAAACATACTTTTGGATGATCAGTTTCAACCCAAACTAACTGATTTCGCCATGGCACACTTCCGACCCCACCTAGAACACCAGAGTTCTACCATAAACATGACCAGCAGTAACAGTAAACATCTGTGGTACATGCCAGAAGAGTATATCAGACAGAGCAAACTTTCCATTAAAACAGACGTCTACAGCTTTGGAATCGTAAGTGCCAGCTACCAGTTAACAAAGGGGGAGAGTTTATCACCAAGAATATTCTAAATTCTAAGAAGAATTTTTTAAAGGGCCTTAACTTTTAGACTTACTGAATTCCTGTTACTCATTGTCTTATATGGAGTCCTGGTGGTGCAGTGATTGAGCATTTGGCTGCTAACCAAAAGACTGGCAGTTCGAATCCACCAGCCGCTCCTTGGAAACTCTATGGGGCAGTGCTACTCTATCCTAAAGGGTTGCTATGACTCCGAATCGACTCGACGGCAATGGGTGTTTTGGTTTATTGTCTTATACATTAATTCTGTGTAATAACTCAAGTAATAAAACATAAAATGATTAATGAAAATGCACTATTCAGTGTCATAGTTAATAGTTGCAACTGTTATTTGTGATATATTAAGATCTAGCCTAACTTTCTGTATGTTCCATGTAGGTGATAATGGAAGTTCTGACAGGTTGTAAAGTGGTGTTAGAAGATCCAAAACATATCCAGCTGGTAAGAATTTCTTCACCTCTGCATGTATCTCTTGGTCATTTTTCTGATAAGAGCTCTGTATGATAAGGTTGTCTCCTTCTCTTCCTAGAGGGATCTCCTTATGGAACTGATGGAGAAGAGAGGCCTTGATTCGTGTCTTTCATTTTTAGATAAGAAAGTAAATCCGTGTCCTCGGAATTTCTCCGCCAAGCTATTCTCCTTGGCAGGCCAGTGTACTGCAACGAAGGCCAAGTTAAGGCCACTGATGGATGAAGTATGTATACACATGGTTTTATCCAAAATTCAGCCCAAAGAACCAGGGAAAATTTAAATTGGATCAATTATGTATCTAAGTGAATTCTTTATTAATGAGACAAATCCAGCCCTCAACAGAGAATTCTAACCTAATAGATAGCTTTTCCAGATCAAAAAATCCCATCATTTGGTACCCTGGTAAACCAAAAAACCAAACCCATTGCTACTGAGTCAGTCCCAACTCATAGTGACCTTGTAGGACAGCATAGAACTGCCCCATAGGGTTTCCAAGGCTGTAATCTTTAAGGAAGCAGACTGCCACATCTTTCTTCCATGGAGCAGGCTGATGGGTTTGAACGGCCGACATTTCGGTTAGCAGCCCAGTGCTTAACCCCTGCACCACCAGGGCTCCTTGGTACCCTGGTAGAGGTCATTCATTGGGTGAAACCAGGACATCATAAAGATTTAGTAAAAAGACATAGGTGAGAAGTTTAGAGAGAATGTTTTATTCAACCTTCATTAAGAGATCTGGCCCATTAAAAATGCAGCATATATTACCCTTATTCATTTTTATTCATGTATCCGTCAATATAATCATTCATTAACTTATTTGTCTATTTATTCAACAAATATTTATTTAGTGACTACCTTGTATTTGCCATACTGTGTACTGGGGATACCTCAGTGGTCAAGATACAATTCCTGCCCTCATGTCCAGAGGAACAGTCAGAACAATAAACATGGAATTTCAGTACACAAGATGAGCGTTATGATAGATGGAAGTCCAGGCTGATAAAGGAGCATAGAGTCAGAATACATACTAGCCTGTGGAAGTCAAGGAAGCTGCTTGAGGGAGGTGACAGCTGAATTATGACCTGAAGAAGAACAGGTTAGATTTAGGCAGCAATAAAGATGTTTCATGGAGTTAAGACAGTACTTCTGTTAAAGTGATAAAGGGGCATGAATCCATTATAGAAGTTTAGATTTTATCCTGAGTCCATCATTGAGCCATGGAAGGTTTGAAACAAGGAGATGACATGATCAGACTGTAGAGAGCCCTGGCCTGGGAGTCAGGAGACCTGTATTCCAGGACTGACACCACCAATGAGATGCTTTGTGATGTGGAATCTTGGGCCCAGAAAAGACCCATGAGATGTTTAGTGGAGGGAACATAGAATTGGAAACCAGGAGATCTGGGGTCAGGCAACAGATCTGCTTCTTACTGGCTAGTGATGTTGATTCCCTTTTGTGAGCCTTAGCTTTACTATCTATAAAATGAGAATAATAATATTATTGTGAAGACTAAATGAGGTAATGTTTGTAAAACCACTTTGTAAATTGTAAACTGTATTATTAAAAATTCTGTGTGTGTGTGTGTGTGTGTGTGTGTGTGTGTGTGTGTGTGTGTGTGAAGGTATGTTATATTATCTTAGGTCAAGGGTTCTCAAATTTAGTTGCATATCCAAATCAACTGGAGAGATTTTAAAGTATAGATCCCTGGGCCCCAATCTCTAGGTTTTTTGGAATGACCATCTCTAAGATGGGTCTAAGGGATCTGTATCATAACAAAGTCCCTGAGGTAGTTCTGACCCAACAATACACCAGCTGGCATTTGAGAACTACAGATTGGGTCTGGTCCACCCCTCCTGCCACCCTAATCCTGCATATATTATGATTTAAGTAAAAAATGTAAATAGACTCACCCAAGATCATGAAGCCAGTTGTGGCAAATCTAGGACTAACATTGAAGTCTCTTGATATTTAATTCAGTGCAGTTTCCTTTATACTTTGCTTCAAGTCATTTAATTTACTCATCATTAAAATGAAAAGGTTTAGTTAATCTTTGGGGGCATTGGTGGTTCAGTGGTAGAATTCTTGTCTTCCAGGTGGGATACCTGGTTTCAATTCCTGGTCGGTGTACCTCAGTCGCAGCCACCACTCATCTGTCAGTGGAGGTTTGCATGTTGCTATGATGCTGAATAGGTTTTAGTCGAGTATCCAGACTAAGACAGATTAGGAAGAAAGGCCTGGCAATCTACTTCTGAAAATAAGCCAGTGAAAACCCTATGAATCACAATGTTCCAGTCTGCAACCGATAATGGGGATGGCACAAGACCAGGCAGCATTTTATTCCATTGTGCGCTCGGCCACTGTGAGTCGGAGGCTAGCAAGTAATAACAAGAACAGTTAATCTTTAAGGTCCCTTCTAGTTCAAAATTAGATAGTTGAACTTATTTCATGAAAGTGAGTGCAAATTTTTCAGTAGGAAGACTAAGAAAGGAAAAAAGAAAGGTTATTCAATCTTAACTTGGCGTTTGTTTCTTTGTTAATTAGGTCCTACATACTCTTGAAAGTACTCAAGCCAGCTTATATTTTGCGGAAGACCCTCCTACATCACTAAAGTCCTTCCGGTGTCCTTCGCCCCTTTTCTTGGATAACGTACCAAGTATTCCAGTGGAAGATGATGAAAACCAGAATATTCGTTCGCTGCCTCATGATAAAGACTTGAAAGAAGATAGAAAGACTCAGAAAGTTCCTTTTGAATGCAGCCAGTCTGAGGTTACATTTCTAGGCTTTGACAGAAAGGCAGGGAGTAAGATAAATGAGGATGCTTGCAACATGCCTAGTTCTTCTTGTAAAGAAAGTTGGTCCCCAAAGCATGAAGCGCCGTCCCAGGACTTAGGGGCCTATGATATGAATATGGATACTTCTTCAGAGGCTGCCAGCGATACTCATGGGAACAGGCTAGTGGAGTAGAGCTATTCCTTTGAATTTTCCTGGAATGAATGTAAACAGTAGAAAAAGAACTCAATTTCACTAGAAGATAAAGGAAAAAGCAATGCTGAGTCACCTGTCTATAGGTATCGTCTTGGGCAGGCATTGCCTCCATAGGTAATGCCAAGACGATGATTTGATGGTGAGTTTGGGTGGTGCAGACAAGCAGTCTAGACAATGCCACTCTTTCCTTCCCAGCCCCCAAAACAGAGTGACTTAAAAAATAGTTTCACCAGGATAATTGCCTCATGATCAAACCCAAGCTAAATTATGGAGGAAACAATAAGAGCCATTTAAAATCACTTGAGATCGTGAGCTCTGACTTCAGACACACAAAACACTCAAAACCTACCAAAAAGGGACTGAATTCTAATGTCTTCTTCTAGCCAGTCATCAATGTCAGTTTCTTTTCTGCTAATAGGTTCTGTTGGATTTGATTATTTGGTTTTTCTTGCTTGCAAAGGTTGTAGGGAATGTCTTAATTTATGAATATTAATAGATGCCTTTTAAAAGAATTACCATTTTGCTTATTTTGACTGGTCCTTAGTATTTTTCTGGTCATCTGTGTCATAGGCAGGCTTACCCTTGGCTATGGCATGTTCTGCCAGAAAGGGAATTCCTGCCCAAGATCTGTATTTTTATATTTAAACTCTCAGGACAGTTCATCACATGTAATACAAATGTCAACTATTACTATAAATTTTTACAAACTTAGAGACTTATTATAGCCTGAATGTATAGATTTGTTTTTTTTAATTGAGTAATTTTTTGCCCCTGAAAAAATGGCTGGTCACAAGGTTGGCTTTCAGTTTAGTTCTCCACCTTCTAGCACTGTGCCTTTTTACCCTGTGGTTTCCTGGAGGGTTTCCCTTTGGAAATTCTACTCAACCCTTCAGATATGCTGCATACCCAGAAAGCTGCCCTGATCTCTCCAGCCAGAAGTACTAACTTTATAAGTATTTCTATACAATTTTTTTTTTTATTCCTGTTTTACATTTGTCACTTTCTGAATTGTATCAAAGTTAACTGTGTCATCTTCTCTCTCTTAACAGAGTGTAAACTTCCTGTATTGGTTTCCTGTTACTGCTGTAACAAATTACCACAAGCTTAGTGGCTTAAAATATCATAAATTCATTATTTTACATTCTGGAAGTCCTTGGCATTCCTTCTGGAGGCTCTAGTGAGAATCTGTTTCCTTGCCTTTTCTAACTTCTAGAGACAACCTTAATTCCTTGGCTCATGACATCTTCCTTTGTCTTCAGACTCAGCAGCATAGCATCTTCAAATCAATCAGTCTCTCTCTGTCTGTCTTTCTCTCTCTGACCTCTTATATCTCTTTCACTCTTACCCTCTGCCTCCCTCCTATAAGGATCCCTATGGTTGCATTGGTGGCACAGTGGTTAAGAGCTATGGCTGCTAACCAAAAGGTCAGCAGTTGGAATCCACCAGGCGTTCCTTGGAAACCGTATGGGGCAGTTAGTTCTACTCTGTCCTATAGGGTTGCTAGGAGTTGGAATCGACTTGACAGCAATGGCTTTGGTTTTGTGTTTTATGGTTGCTTTGGGCCTACATAGATAATCCGGGATAATCCCCCATCTCAAAAATACTTAACCAAATCTGCAAATTCTCGTTTCTCATATGAGGTAACATATTCGCAGGTACCAGGGATTAGGAAGTGGACTTCTTTGGAGGGTCATTATTCTGCCTTCCACACTCCCTGAGTGTGTAAGGAGCATCTCTTCAGGGCCTAGCATAGTATCCTACACAGAGCAGGTGCTTCCATATAAGTTAAATTGAATTAAATTATCTCCACAAACCCACATAGTAAAAAATGCAGCTATAATAAATATTGCTGAGTAACTTAACAAAGTGGGGATAGTGACTATCTTTGTGATAATGAATGGAGAAAGTCCAAAAAGAGAGAAAAAAAAAAAAACATTTCCAGAAGATTTATGGAATCTTCCTCTACAGGAAGTTTGTAGTAAGAGGGTAGGCCTCTAGATTTCTGTGCATCAGAGGAATAGACTCACACCTTTTCTTTTTGGTGAGTCAGTAACTGACAATCATAGATTGGAGTCCAGGTTCAAGAATAACCAATCAAATAAGAAAACCAGGAGTCAGGGTCAAGTTAACAGAGACAAGGTCAGAAACATGGAGCTAGAATTCTGGGAAAAAAAGATCCCAGGGCAGGAAGTAAGGTTAAAAGCACAATAAGACTTAGTCTGATTAACAGGTCTAGTAAAATCCCCAGGTAAACAGCTGGGAGAAGCCACACTCACACTTATCTGCAGAGTGCCTGGCTGCCCAGTGCTGTCTTCCCACAGATCATGGCATACATGTTCCCCAATGCTCCCAAACTGCCCATATGTTAAAATTAATAGGGGGAAAATGTTGGACAAGACTTCATATGATTTTAACTTTTGTGACCTTAGTTTGGCAACTCTTGATTATACATGTTAATGAAAGGAAGCAGTAAAAGTCTTTGGCCTTTGGCTTTATATTTTGCAAACCATTTTGAGGCTGGTTTTGCTGATCTTAGAGATACAGTCTGAAAGAGTATCCTGGCTGACTTGGGGAAATTAGTCTAGAATCTTGTGAAAACCAAAAAACTAAAATCGTTGCCATCTAGTCAATTCCGACTCATAGTGACCCTATAGGACAGAGTCGAACTGCCCGTACGATTTCCAAGGAGCAGCTGGTGGATTCTAGAACAGCCGACCTTTTGGTTTGCAGCCGACCTCTTTACTACTTCACCACCAGGGCTCCAGAATCCTGTGAAGTTGCCGCTAATATCTTACAAAAGAGATCAGCAAGAATTGATTCAATGTTAAACTCTTTTTCACTTTGAATCTGGACCCAACCAGTACCTTCAATGAAGGGTCATTAAGGAAGCTCTTACTTTTCTTTGACTTTGTTGGAAAGAAATTTGCCTTTTTAATAGGTTCCCAGGTGAAGCTGATACTGCTGATGTGGGGCTTTCACTTTGAGAACCACTTCCTTAGAGTGTTCTCAGATTGGTACAGATCAGGGCACTCTACCTTTCCATCTAGGTTGTGTGTTTTTGAGAAAAGAATCATTTCTTTTAATTATTTTATATTCATCCTATTATCTAGGATGTTGCTTAACATAGAGTAGGAGCTTGTTATGGATTGAATTTTGAATTATGTCCTCCCAAAATATGTGTTGTAAATCCTAACCTCTATGCCTGTGGTTATCCCATTTGGGAATGTGTTATCTTTGTTATGTTAACGAGGCAAGATTAGTATAGGGAGTATTTGAGTCATTCTCTTCTGAGATATAAAAAGACATTAAACAAACAAGCAAGCAGAAGAAGAAGAGATGAGGGAAGAGAGATGCTAAGCCACATGAAGACTGCCCAGGAGCAGAAGCTCAAAAGAGACAAGGACTTTCCTCCAGAGCCGACAGAGAAAACCTTTCCCAGGAGTCCGCACCCTGGCTTCAGACTTCTAGCCTCCTAAACTGTGAGAAAATTAAATTCTGCTCGTTAAAGCCATCTGCTGTGGTATTTCTGTTACAGCAGCACTAGATAACTAAGACAAGGCTCTGGAAATATTGTTGACCGATGATCTTATCGACCAGATCACCTTGCTAGGATCTATTTGGACAACTTAAAGACCAAGTCATACTAGCTGGCAGTGACCTGATTAATGATATGGTGAGCAGATGCCACTATGCCTGGAAATACCAGAATCTTCTGCTGAGTGATCTAATCCTCCTGACCAGACTTGCCTTCTAGTGGGTGCTTTAATAAATGTTAATTGATAGGAATTAAGTCTTATATACTACTATAGGTAATAGAAGGATATCTCCATGGTTTTATGATGTGAAGACTAAAACACAAGAAAAAACTAAGAATAAGCCTCTGAGTATTCCCTCTGATCAGTAAATACGAATTAGTAAAGAATTTCACTCATCTTCATCCTTATAACATACCATGGGCAATCCTCCTGGCAGATCCTAATTATTATGCTGTTAGGGTTTTTGTCCCATTTTATAATGCCCCAAAACATGGAGAAAATATTGGTTTTTAAAATAAGTATGGGATTTCTGACATAATCAATTTTATTGACTTCTTGAGAGCCGTTGTAATGATATGTGACTCGCTGCATAATAGTGGAGTTTTATGAGGTGGTACATCAGCCTGTATAAAACAACTTCATGACCTGATGTGAGATTATATAGGAAGTGAGGCTTATTAAGAATAGCATTTACTAAGCATCTACTATAATTACAAAGGAGCCCTGGTTGCACAACGGTTAAATTCTCAGCTGCTGACCAAAACGTTGGTGGTTTGAACCTACCCAGAGGCTTTGCAGACGAAAGACCTGGAAGTCTGCTCCCATAAATATTACAGCCTAGAAAACCCTATGGGGTAGTTCTACTCTGTCACATAAGGTCACTGTGAGTCAAAATCAACTCAGTGTCACCTTACAAAAACAATACTAGAATCAAGCCACTTGTGTTAGGTACCAGGGTAACAAACCAAAAAAACCCATTGCCATTGAGTTGATTCTGACTCATTGCAACCCTATAGGACAAGGTAGAACTGCCTCATAGAGTTTCCAAGGAGTGGCTGGTAGATTTGAACTGCTGACTTTTTGGTTAACAGCTGAGCTCTTAACCACTACTCCACCAGGGCTCCATACAAAGGTAACAAGAAAGGGGCAAACCATTTAGTAAGGGAAAAAAGGCATATGCCTAAGTTAACAGTTTGGTGTCATCTGTCATTTGAACCACAACTCAATGGAACTGAAAGTGCTGAAAGAGCAAGGAGGAGGCGGAGATTACTGTGCACTTTAGAGAGGGTAAGGAAGTCTTCTTAGAGATGGCTTCTTGGAAAGAGAAATAGAAAGGAGCCCTGAAGAAGCACTCCAGGATAGTTATCCAGGCAACTGAGGGCCCACAGCTCTCCCAGAGCCCTGCACAACCCAGTGTCTGGGGTGAAGGAGAAGGTAACTATGTCAGGAACTTTGTGTATTTTTTTTCCCGTTTAAAGCTCAAAACTACCCTGAAGATATGAGTCCCATTTTATAGGTGAGGAAACTGACTCAAGGAGGTTAAGTAACTTGTCTAAGGTCCTCCCAGGATCTGGAGGAGTCAGGATTTGAACACACATCTGTTGACTTCAAAGCCCTTGCTCTTTCTTGTACTCTACGTTGCACAAAAAAGCCCCTGTATGTGCAAACTCCTATGAAAAGGGATGTGAAAAGTCATTTGCTAATTCCACATACATTCATTAGACACACGGGTCTCCCCATGTCTTCTGCATTTTTCACCATCCCACTACTCTGCTACTAGCACCCACGTCTGCAGTCATTTGATGTGAATTAAATGAATTTATTCATTCACTGAATAAATACTTATCAATGGCCTCCCTTGTGTCAGGCACTGTTCTAGGACTGGGGATACAGTGAAGATCAACAAAAATTCCTGCCCTCATGCTCCTTACATTTGAGTGAATAAATGAATGAGTGAATAGGAAGAACCCTGGGAGAGATTTAATCCCAATTCTAACACGAACTGGCTCCTGTCCCTGGGCCCTGCTGCAGTGTGCTCTCGGAGTGTTCTCTGGATGTGGGGTCCAGCTTTTCTCGGCCCGTTCTTTGGAATGGGTCCAGAGACGTTTTCTCCTCATCCTGTTGTGATGACGCCGTGGTGGCCTGTGGCGTTGCTATTCACCTGAACTAACTAGTCTATGGCGTGCTGTGTGCTCATCGTGATGGAAACTTCAGCAAGTTTCTAAGGAATCTGAAGCACCTACATGCAGCTCACCTCACTATCACACTGCACTGGAATTTGCCTGTTGACTTGTCTCTTCTCCACAAAGCTGAACGTTTCTTAAGGGCAGAGGCTATGTCCTGCTCATGTTTACATCCCCAGTACCTGGCACATCATATGGCCCAATACGTACTTGTCGAGTGAGTGAATCAAATTGTCTTCAAAATTATTGATAGATAGTACATCAAGACTATCGTCTAGATTGCACCCAAAGGTTGTCTTTCTAATATTCAGATACTCATCAATCATTTGCTTAAATGGTTCTGTGTCACCATTCTTGGACAGAAATAATTAATTTTAAACATTAATATATGAGATAGCTTTGAAAAGAATTAGACATAGTATAAATTGCTTATAAATTTGCTTCAGGTGGAAAATATTCCTAAAGCAGTGGAAAGGAGGAGTGTGCTGTCACAGTATGGGGAGAGCAATTAGAGTCACATAACAATATATGTATAAATTTTTGTATGGGAAAAAATTTTTAAAAATTTAAGAAAAAAATCCCTAAACCATATGTAAGCAATGATAAACCAACATTTAGCAGGGAATAAACTAAAATGTCTGTTGTGTTTTGTTTCAGTCTTTTTGTCCTAAATTATTTATGTGTATTTGCTGGTTCATGGACCTGACTTGCAAGTATTTTACTGGGAGGTATTTTTAGTCCAAAGATCTGTACTGTCTACCAAACCTTCACTTACAGGCCTTCTTATTGAGGTCATCCACCTCATCGCAAACTTTTGTGGTCCTCTCTATAAATAGCAAGAGAATATTTCCAGAGTCTTTCATTGGCTCATTAATTTTAAAATTTACTTACAGATCAACATGAATTTGAATCGGGTCGGGGAGGGGCAAGGAGGTAGGAAGAGCTCCCCTGTAGGAGATTTCAGACTCAGTTAACTTTTATGTGTCTAGTTCTGTGCTAGGTGCTTTCATATATCACTTAAGCCTTAAACAACCTCTTGAGATGGGTTTTATGTGTGAGGCTTAAAGAAGTTGACTGTTGTCCTTCGCCACACAACTGATAGAATGGGAATACAAACTGAAACTCTTCATTCAAGTCCAGGAAATATTTGCCCTGAAAAGAGGTAACTTAAAAATTAGAAGTATCACCAATTTGGAGATAAAGACAGCTAATCCATGTGAATGTTTATCATTTTATTATTATTATTAATTTTGTCTGCCGAGGTTGGTAAAAATTTAAACAGTTGACAAGAATATGGGCAAATGAACTAGCTTTTGTGTTCGCTGTTGGCAGGAGTGAAAATTGATACAATCTTTCTAGAAGGCAATTTATATAAAAAAATGTAAGGAGGATACCCTTAACTAGCAATTTATTTAGGAATTTATCCCAATGAATAAAAATTGCACAAATTTGTCAACCTGAGCCCAAAGATGCACTTCATGATGTTTATTATGTTAAAAATTGGAAACAACCTAAATATTCATTAATAGAAGATGGAATAAATGAGTTATAGCACTTACATACAATTGAATAGTATGCATCTGTCATTAAAAATTTTGTAGATCTATGTTTATTGCTATGGAAATTTGTCCCTGAAATATTGCAGATTACAGAATAGCATGTTTAATATAAGGCCATTTATAACATTGGGTATTTTAAAATAATATATGTTTGATAGATCTTCACCAAAATGCTAATGATGTTTTTCTTCTGGTCTGTGGTATTTGGGTGGTCTTTACTTTCTTTGTACTTTTATGTATGTGAAAGTTTTATAATAAGCATATATCATTTTTTATTATCAAAAAAGAATAAAGCTATTTTTATTTTGAAAAAAATGTCATTCTCTACATTTCTATGTTTGCTTCGTTCTTTGCTGTCTACCTTAGATGTGTCCTTGGTAATGATCTGCAACTAGTAATAATGCTTCTATTCCATTGCTCTTTATTCCTTTTCATAAAACTAAGTGACTGAAGCTACCAAATGGATTTGTCTGATATCCCTTGAGTAACAAGCTTTGAGAGGACATACAAAAAAGCAATCCAAGAGGCAAAAACCAGACAAGCTGAAATACAGACAAGAATGGCTCACAGTGCACACTGACAGTATTTTGTAATTAAGTATTAGTTGATTTTGGTAAAGTAGTAAAAACAATTACCCTTAATATTTATACTTAAAAATCAGCACTTAAAGGAGTAACCCACAGTTAAATTAGAAGATCTTTGCGGGAGATCAGTTTTTAGACCATAAAGTATCCATTCACCAGATTTGTGCCAGGATCACTAGGAGTCAGAATCAACTGCACGAGAATGGATTTTATCAGTTTTTAGCCTACATAAAATTTTTGACTTGCTGAATTTAGTAGACTCTGAACTGTAGTTATCAGTTGGAAAAAAAAAACTTGCAACAGTGCAGAGAAAGTGTGACTGAATACAGCGCTTTCCTCTAGCAGGTAGGGATGGAGCCTATGTAGCAATGCTAATGGAATCCACAATGATGCATTAATTATAAAGGGAAATAGCAAAGTGTACTCCAGAGTAAAATACCAACTCTAATGAATTCTATCTGGAGGGAATGTTTTGTGGACATAATTGAGTTACAGAGTGTGTAAATAAGATAAAAGCACTTCCTAGTCAAATCCAGCTAGATAAATGAGTGTTGGGTTTTTAAGAGCACAACATAGCTACACATTTTGTTCTTTTGATACCAAATTAATATGTTGGCGCTGTTTTGTGTTTCCTGGAAAGGAAATGCCAGATAATACCAACTGCACAGACCATCACTGCAAAGATTTCAGCAAAAGAGAAGTTAAGGAATCGAATACATGAAATAGCACAATGGAAAATGAAATCACTTTCAAGCAGCACATTGGAGTGAGGTACAAATAATCTCTGGTGGTCTTCTTAATCCCATTTTTCTCTAATGATAGTTTTATGTCATTTTAAAAGTGTGTGGGCTAATTATAGTGCTATTGCTGGACCATTAAACACTGGATCTTGTGATATTTTTCTTTTATGATTATAGCATAAGATTTTTTAGAAGAGCTGAAATGACTTCAGCTAAGGGCATATATTAATCTATGACCTTTTAGTGTTTTTATTTTGTGAACTTTGGAGGAAAATTTAAGATTCCACCCTGCCAAGTTTTGTTGATGGTAACTCACTGCTGGCAAGTCTAAGGCTATTGCTTTAGACAAGAGGTATAGCAATCTTTGACATTTTCATTGTGCATTGGTCTAGCAGTTTGAGAAGGGGAAAAATAATTCATGTGATTATTAGTAGCCTATCTTGGCCATTAAAATATATTTTTAATATAAAATTATCACCGTATTTTAGAAGACATAGTCCAACATGTCTCCATCTTTTTTCTTATCTCATATTCTGGCATCATTTTTCTTGATTTCAGTCGCCATCTGAATCAACCAAGTGGTGTCATAGCCTTACAGTTAAAAGATTTGCTCAATTACAGTGAATCTATACTTCCATTTTAGTTTACCCCCTTTTCACAGGGCCACACTCAGAACCTTGTCACCCCCTGAAACTGCTACACATCAGAAATGATAGTATGGTGTCTTTGACCTTATAAAGACATCCTATCATCCAATTTTCTGTTTTTTTCCTCGCCTATCAACCACCATCTTTTTCCTCATCCACCTACTCCATGTTTTTGTTTGCATAGGCTGGGCTTTTGTTTCGTCTGTATCAGTGGTTGCCCTTATAGGGAAATAGAAGCCCTGTTAGATATTTCAAAAAGAGGGAATTTAATATTGGGAACTGGTTATCAAAGGGTTGAAAAGACTTGAGTAACAAAAAGGGAAAATGTGAAGTTATCCAGAGTAATACCTACAGGAAGCTGCTCTCACTCTTAGTAATAAAGGATTAAAAAGAGAAATTTTTATATGACCTTTATGCTGCAGAGGCTGCTGGGAACTTGCTGCTGATGCTTCTGGAACTGTCCTTCCAAGGAGGGAAGCCGAAATGTGGACTGACCCACCACCTGTGCCCTTGCTACTTCTACAGGCTCAATCAGAAGCTGAGAAAGAAAAAGCATCTCCATTCTTCCACTTTCAATAATGAGAAGTTGGCTGGTAAGGGCAACTAAGAAATATAGTTTTTAGCCTTCTAGCCCCCGAACTACAGAGAACAGCACAAAAGGGCAAGAACAGAGCTAAGAGCCAACAAACAAATCCTACCCTTGGACTATTAAGCATTTATTCTTACACTTTAACCCCAGATTTAAATTTCCAGTAACAATAACAATATCATAAAAGGATCCCTTAAATAATTGAAGATACTGTTACTCTCCCCAAAAAGACACAAAGTCTTATCAGTCATCATTCCCATCTCTAGGTGATTTTAATTTTTCTTCCAGTTTAGTCATACCCCATCTGAATTTTTTAAGAATAAAGGTACACATCAATATTTCCTATATAATATAGAAGTGAGAGAAAAAATAAACAGTTAATACATACAGATAAATACAAAATAAGCAAAAAACAAAATATGCACAGCTGCGATAGTCCTTGTTTCTTTAACTTGTCATAAGACTGCAATTTATATTTATAATGTGTTTCTTCCACAATCCTTCCATGTTTCCTTTGCCCTTAGCCAGCACTTTGGTTGTTCAGGGTCTTTTACATGATGATGTGAACTAAACCTTCATTACTGCCTTTATTGGTATGCTATAATCTTACCTTAACTTTCACTACAGGATATGGAAGGGTTAGTACCCAGAATCTGCTTGATTCCAAGCTTAGCCCTTCCTGCTCTCATTGTGCTCACAAACCCTATTTCCCCTTGATAAATTCAATCAATGCCCAGAGCTAGTATAATAGCCTCCTTTTTTCATCATGGTTCAGTGGCATGAAGAGCCCAAATGACAGTCTCAACTTCTAGGTCAGTGGAACCATTGTTCTGTCTACATGAAAGCATTCCTCCCTTGAGATCTAAGACCCTTAACCAGCAGAGCCCACTGTCGTAGGGATGGGAAGCAAAACATTTGTGCGTGGCTACCTAGATGTAAAAGTGAGAGAAGCAATTCCTACCTCACCCCTTGATTCCCAGGCCTGTGCATTCTGGCTATGAGAGAGATAGCACTATATATTGGTCTTGGATTTAATATATATACTTCATTTAACCCTGAAAAGTGTTGTCTCGCAGCTAACACTATAACTGAGTTTTCAGCAGGCCATTTCCAAGTTCTGTATAGCCAATTCTTCTTGGCAATTTTCCTAGTTTCTTAGAGTTGCTATAAGAAAAATACCACAAGTGGGTGACTTTAATGAACAGAAATTTATTTTCTTAGTTTAGGAGGCTAGAAGTCCAAATTCAGGGCACTGGCGCTAGGGGTAGGCTTTCGCTGTCTGCTCTGGGTGTGGATCCTTATCTCTTTTCAGTTTCTGTTCCTCAGTTCCTTGGCGATGTTCTCGTGGTGTGTATCTTCCCCTCGTTTGTGCTTCCTTGCTTTTGTGCCTAATCTGCTTTTTTTTTTTAATATCTCAAAAGTGATTGGCTTAAGACACATCCTACACTGATAAGTCCTCATTAATGTATAGGAAATCTTTACTCCCAAATGTAATTACAACCATAGTATAACCAAAACCCAAACCCATTGCCTTTAAGTGGATTCCAATTCACAGCGATCCTATAGGACAGAGTAGAACTGCCCCACAGGGTTTCCAAGGCTATAAACTTTATGGAAGCAGACTGCACATCTTTCTCCTGCGGAGCAGCTGGTGGGTTCAAACGACCAACCTCTCAGTTATAGCAGTCAGCCTTAACCACTGTCCCATCACGGTTTCTCATCCATAGTATAGGGGTTAGGATTTACAATACATATTTCTGGTGACACAATTCAATCCATAACAGTGATGAAGTGCAATATAAGAACGGCAAATTTCATGGGTGTGAGCCCATTGCCGCACTTATTTTGTTATAAAATGAGTTCTCGGTCAGAGCCGTATTTTAAGAGATGCTATAAATCCATCAGCAGAAGTCCTGGTAGAGGCATTGTGGGCAAGGAAAGCAAATCCATAACCGTATCTATTCTGGTGAGGACAAATAATTGTTCCCTCCATGATGAAAGGGGTTGAATGTAATCAACATATCACCGAGTAGCTATTTCATTTGGTTAACCTAAAAAATGGTGTCAAATTAGGAACTCAGCATTGATTCCTACTGTTGGTAGTTTAGGTATTCATGGTGGGAACCACATCAGCATTGATGTGGAGAAGCCTACACATAACCTGTATCCCTGTTGCCATGGCCACTATGTACTACTTAATGCCACAATCACTCATTCTGACATTGCCTCATGGGTTGTTTGGAACAGTATTGTCTTGTACACCTTTGTATTCCCCACTGCTTTTAGGAGAATTCTATGGACACAGTGAGCATTCAGTAAGCATTATACTCTTGGACTAAATGAAAGAGAAGTAAGGGAAATTCCAGGTAGGTTTTAGAAGACTAGAACAAAGAGGGTTTAGCCAAAGCGTGAATTGTATTGTGTCATGGATTGAATTGTGTCCCCCCAAAATATGTGTACCAATCTGGCTAGGCCATGATTCCCAGTGTTTTGTGATTGTCTATCATTTTGTCATCTGATGTTATTTTCCTGTGTTGTAAATCCTATCTCTATGATGTTGATGAGATCGGATTAGTGGCAATTATGTTAATGAGGCAGGACTCAATCTACAAGTTGGACTGTGTCTTGAGCCAATCTCTTTTGCAATATAAAAGAGAGAAGCAAGCAGAGAGACATGAGGACCTTATACCACCAAGACACAAGAGCCGGGAGAATACTGCATCCTTTGGACCTGGGGTCCCTGCGCTGAGAATCTCCTCGACCAGGGAAAGATTGATGACAAGGACCTTGCTCCCGAGCCGACAGAGAGAGAAAGCCTTCCCCTGGAGCTGACGCCCTGAACTTGGACTTGTAGCCTACTAGACTGTGAGAGAATGAATTTCTCTTTGTTAAAGCCATCCACTTGTGGTATTTCTGTTATAGCAGCACTAGATATACTAAGACAGAGTCTGAACTAGGTGTAGAGGAGATAAAAAGTAGTAGAGAATAATTTGGAGAAGTAAAGTTTGGCACTTGCTGGAGCCTTTTAATAACAGATTGAAGAATTTGAATTTTATCTGAGAGACAGTGAGGAGTCTTTAAGAGTTTTGAGCAATTAAATAGAATATTAGGGATTGATAAAATCAAAACCAAACCCATAGGGTTTCCAAGGAGCAGCTGGTGGATTCAAACTGCTGACCTTTTGGTTGGCAGTTGTAGCTCTTAATCACTGCTCCACCAGTGCTCTTAGGGATTGATAGATACAAATAAATACTTAAAAGTAACCTTGCACACTTTTAAATCAAAGCAGAAATCCTCTCTATAGCATCTTTTGACAAATTGTCATT